AAAAACATACATGCTCACGGATAGACTCAAAATTGTGAAAATATCCATTCTACCCAGAGCAATCTACAGATATAATGCAATCCCGATCCAAATACCAATAGTAATCTTTAACAAGATGGAAAAACTAATTGCCAACTTCATATGGAAAGGAAAGAGGTCCCAGATAAGCAAAGCATTATTGAAGAAAAAGAACAAAGTAGAAGGCCTCACACTACCTGATCTCAGAACCTACTATACAGTCATGGTAGTCAAAATAGCCTGGTACTAGTACAATGACAAACACATGGACCAATGGAACAGAATCAAGAACCCAGATGTAAATCCATCCACCTATGGTCAGATGATCTTTGACAAAGGACCAAAGTCCCTTAAATGGGGAAAAGAGAGTCTTTTCAATAAATGGTGCTGGTAAAACTGGATGTCCATCTATAAAAAAATGAAACAGGATCCATACCTCACACTATACACAAAAAATAACTCAAAATGGATCAAATCTTAATATAAAACCTAAAACAAAAAAGACCATGGGAGGAAAAATAGGGACAACACTAGTGGCCCTAATATACTGCAAAAAGAGAATACAGACCGTAACTAACAATGCCCAAACATCAGAAGATAAACTAGATAACTGGGAGCTCCTAAAAATTAAACACTTATGCTCATCAAAAGACTTCACCAAAACAGTAAAACGTGAACCTACAGACTGGGAAAATTTTTTTGACCGAGACATATCTGACAAGGGTTCAATACCTCAGTAAAAAAAAAGACAAATAATCCAATTTAAAAAATGGGCAAAGGATATGAACAGACACTTCACCAGACAAGACACTCAGGCGGCTAACAGACACATGAGGAAATGCTCGCAACCATTAGCTATTAGAGAAATACAAATCAGAACTACAGTGAGATACCATCTCACCCCGACACTACAAGCACGAATCAAAAAAACAAAGAATAACAAATGTTGGAGAGTTTGCGGGAAGACTGGAACTCATGAGAACACTGCTGGTGGGAACATAAAATGGTACAACCACTATGGAAAATGATATGGCGCCTCCTTAAAAAGCTACAAATAGAAATACCGTAAGATCCAGCAATCCCATTCCTAAGAATATATCCTAGAGAAATAAGAGGCATCACATGAATAGACATATGCACACCCATGTTCACTGCAGCATTATTCACAATAGCAAAAAGATGGAAACAACCTAAGTGCCCATCAACAGATGAATGGATAAATTAAGATATATACACACAATTCCATACTACACAACGAAAAAGAACAATGAACCATGAAATATCTCACAACTTGGGTGAATCTGGAGGGCATTATGCTGAGTGAAATAAGTCACTCACAAAAGGACAAACATTATATGAAACCACTATCATAAAAATCCAAGAAAAGGTTTACACACAGAAAAAACAATCTTTGATGTTTACAAGGGAGGGGTGGGGTGGGAAATCACTAACTATATAGTAGACAAGTGTTAACTTTGGTGAAGGGAAAGATAACACACAATATAGGAGAAGTCAGCACAACTTGACCAAGGCAAAGTCATAGAAGCTTCCTAGACACATCCAAACACCTTGAAGTACTGAGTTACTAGTGCTGAGGGCTGGGGACCATGGTCTCAGGGGACATCCAGGTCAACTGGCATAACACAGTTCATAAACAAAATGCTCTACATCCTACTTTGGTGAGTAGTGTCTGGGGTTTTGAAAGCTTGCAAGTGTCCATCTGAGATACATCTATTGGTCCTATCACGTTCAGAGGAAAGAAGAATGAAGAAAACCAAAGACACAAGGAAAATATCAGTCCAAAGGACTAATGGACCACATGAACCACAGCCTCCGCCAGCCTAGGTCCAGAAGAACTAGATGGTGCCCAGCTACCACCACCAACCACTATGACAGGGATCACAATAGAGGGCCCCCGACACAGCAGGAGAAAAATGTAGAACAAAATTCAAATTCACAAAACAAGACCAGACTTACTGGTCTAACAGAGACTGGAGGAGCCCCTGAGACTGTGCCCCCAGACACTCTGCTAACTCTGAATTGAAGCCACTCCCAAAGTCCACCTTTCAGCCAAAGATTAGACAGGCCTATAAAACCAACAATAACACACGTGAGGAATATGCCTCTTAGATCAATCAAGTATACACGACCAGATGGGCAATACCTGCCCAAAAGCAACGATGAGAAGGCAGGAAGGGCCAAGAAAACCGGACAAATGGACACTGAGAACCCAGGGTGGAAAGGGAAGGGGGGAGAACGCGGACACTCTCAAAACAAAACAAAACAATCTGTGTATAAATTTTGGAATGAAAAACTAATTTGCACTGTAAACTTTCACCTAAAACACAATGAAATTAAAAAACAAAACAAACCTGTAGCTGACAGTGTGCCCTGACATACGGAACAAAACCCTGGGGGGTGTAAAAGACTAACACAGGTACTGTTTACATACAAGACACCACTCCAGTCTACCTCAGGCTAGTCTTAAGGTTTCTGATACACCCACCTTCCCAAACATACTCAGCTGTCAAAAGCAGCCAGCACTTTCTGAAGCAGACGCATTCAGATGACAGTATCCTATTGTGTAAACAGTGTGATTTTATAGATTCCCCTCCTCCACTGATAATAAGAAAACATCACAGTCAGTCACAGAAGAAGATCAGAGAGGACAGGAAAAACAGTAGCCCATATGCATGTTAAAGAAAACACACATTCTGCCAGCCTGACTTCTAAAATTGAGAAGGTTTTAGAGAAGGAAATAACTGAACTTCCAGAAAAGAATTTCTACCCTACAAACAGGGAGAATGACACAGCTTTGCTCCCATGTCTAACTTACTGAGGTCATCAGGCCCATAAATACCTACCTTTCCTGAAGTTCTACTATCAGCAGTGTCTACAGCAGGGACTGATGGGAAAGAACACGGAACACTTACAAGGTACAACGAAAGGGAAACTGTCAGCCCTGCATTCAGCTTAGCATTAGAAGTGGTTGCTATTCCTCTAAAGGGCAGAATTTCTTTGCCTTTAGTTCTAGAGATTATGGCAATGTTTCGTTAAGTATGGTACAGCTGACAAGATAATGCTGTTGTTGTTGGTTCCAAGTCACAGCGACCCCATGTGTGCAGAGCAGAAATTCTCCATAGGGGTTTCAAGGCTGGGACCTTTCAGAGGCAGATCACCAAGCCTGTCTTCTGAGGTGCCTCGGGGTCAGTTCAAACTGCCAACCTTTCAGCTAGCAGTTGAGCGCTTAACCATTCGCACCACCCCGGGACAGACAAAATATTAAGTCGCATTATACAACACTGGCAGCAGTCATTATTTCTCCTCTGTTCCAAATCCTTCAATATTTTTCCATTTCTCTCAGAATAAAAAGGAAAGTTGCTGTCCTTACAGACACCTCCAAGGACCTACTGCTGCTTCCTAGTCCCCTAGCACCGTCTCTGAGAGCTCATCTCCTACTACTTGCAGCCTTGCTCTCTCCACCCCAACAACACTGGCCCTCCTGGACTGTCCCACGAACCACAGGCATTCTCCCACCTCACATCAGGCCTTCAAAGTGGCTGTTCACTCTGCCTGAAACACTCTTCCCCAGATATCCACATGACTCACTCCCTCACCTCCTTCAAGTATCTGCTTATAGAACATCTTCTCAATGGCGGTGTTCTCTAACTATCCCAATCTCCATTACCCTGCTGTTTATTTTCTGTAGCACTTCTCAATTTCTAACATACAATATGATTTACTGATGCACTGCATTTATTATTTATTGTTATCTTCCTCCACTAGAATGTCTATTTTATTTACTGTCATATCCTAAGAACCCAGAACAGTGCCTGGCACATGCTCGGTAATAATTTATGAAAAGAATGAATGAGAACATTTTTCTATTTCAAATTCTTCATGAATCCTTCTGGTTATAACAAAAACAAAGTCTCAGATTGGTGATGATCTTCAATGATTCTCTACCACTTGCTAGTCTCTCTCTTTTAACAATTTTTTTGAGGTATAATTTACTGCCCATAAAATTTATCCATATTAAGTGTAGAATTCAATGATTTTTTAATTTATGAAGTAATGCAACCATCACACTAATCACCCTTTTAAACATGAAGAAAGCAGAATTTAGATTCAGAGCCTTCTCCAGGCAAGGGCATCTGCTTGAATGTAGTAACATGGCTGTTTTCACTGTATATGTTTTCGTGGTTTCTTTCTCTTTTGGCTAGTGACACCAGCTTTCCACTTATAGTGGTCATGTAAACGTTCCTTTTTAAAAAAAATTGTTTTCAGTAAAAAATGAGTTGACTTGAAGAAAAATATTAAACACATAATAGATACAGTCAAAAGACAGATAAAAAATGGAGAGTAACGAGAATAGTAAATTATGGGAAACACTGACTCATGGGATCCAGAGACTGCAGAATGTAAATAATTTCATAAATGAAAGGCAAGGCACTGACTCACACCCAGGGCCCACCCTCAATTCCCATCAGTTCTTTTTGGGAGACTATTCTTCATGAGTCCCTAGCATTTCTGCCTTCTGAATGTCCTTTGTTCCAGACTGTCTTTGGAAGGATATTTGTATAGTGAACTGCCATGGAAGACAGAGACAGTGTCTCCCTCCAGAAAAAAGGGCAGGTTTGCTTAAAGTCTTGGAAGATAAAGATAGTGTTTTGATATGGAGCAAAGGGCAGGCATGGTTACTGCCTGTTATAAAAGACTCAGATCCCCTAAGGTCAATGTTCCTCCCGTATGCTGCAACCCCTCCATGTGCACGTCTTATCTGGCCCACTTAGGGTTGCCCTGTGGAAATGGGATTGGCAAACTGGCACAAAAACACAGATACTCTGGCTACTGCTACTGTGCTTCGCCTCTGACCTAGGAATAGTCTTGCATCTTATACTAGTATGAAACTGTCAGATTAATTTGTTAGCTTGCAAGTAGGGTAGAATCTCAGACCATTCCCAGTTCTTGAAAGTCCTCACCTCATTGTGGATTTCTTCTCCTTGTTTCAAAATTGCAGGTTCCAAGGATTTCAAAGAGACATCACCATCATCCACCTCATCACGCAAATTCTGCAGAGCCAACTGGCACCGCTGTAAGATATAATCCAAGGTGCCCGTGGAGCACTGCCAAGACAGAACCAGCAATCAAAATTAGAGCAACATCCACATTTATTGCGCCACTCTTCCCAGGACTGCTCACATTTGCCCATTCCTGTGCATTATCCTGCTGTCCCCATAGCTCAGTCAATACCCCCTATGATGGTTAAGATTGTGTGTCAACTTGGCTGGGCCACGACAGTCCCCAACTCAAGAACTGCTGCCAGAGCCTGCTCATTAGGTTCTGTGCTGCCAGCCTGACCTCATGCAGACCACTCATCTTGCTGGTGTTCTTTTTTTCATGTAGGTCTCCTATCTCTAACTAAACAGTAGACAATCTGAAGGCCAACACCCTATTTTTATATAAATTTTCCAAATATACCACAACACCTAGAATTGAGTCCTATATGTAAAAGACACGGAATAAATAATTATTGGATGACTAACTAATTAACCAAGACGTCAGGGACCCTGACTTTATCTCAAGTGCTCTGAACCTAACAACTGGAAAGAAAGGTAACCAGACTGTAGAACTAGTTCAAAAGTACACGCAATAGAACAATAATGGTGTGTGTGTGTGTTGCGGGGCAGAGGGGAGTTACAAACACAAGGCAAAGAACTCATTTCCCTTTTCTACAAAAGGTATTCACTCAGCAGTTGCAGTCCTTGGCAGAGTATTCTTCAAACGATGGAGAAGACGTGGCTCATGCCCTCAAGCACTTTCAGTGGCATAACTTAGTACCTAGGTATTAGCAAGGGCACAGATAACTAGTTCAGCTCCCTCTGAGTCTGTGGAAGCAAAACAGAGGTCAAATGGACGAAGCCCTTCTTGGAAGGATCGTCTGTCAGAAAAGAAGAGGATGCAGATGGAGTATGTGCCTGTTTGTTTTGATAATGACATGATTTCCTAGAATGATGAAAAAAACAGGCTATAAATATCCTTTTGACCTAAAGAGGGAAATGTATCCCTAAAATATTTTTATTTTAATATTTATCCTTTAAACTGAGCCCTTGGAAATAACCTTGAAGGCTAACCCTCTGGTACAAATATTCTTTGCACAGTTTTTGCCATTTTATACAATGTGACACTGACAAACCTCAGAAAAACAAAGTTTCTGTGCCAAAAACAGAGGCTTGACTGATACGTCTTTTAATACGAAGATCCCAGAATGCTGGGAGCACAGGAGCAGGCAGCTGCAGAGAAAAAACAAACGGTGGAGGGGAACTGCCCTACTTGTCCCTACGGTCACTCCTTACGACAACTTTTTAAATGACAATCTGTCTTGGAATTTAGTTTACTAGCACTTTTACTTTCCCAAGTGCAGAGTGACCTACATAAGTTGTTAAATGTAATACTATCTATTATTGCAAAAGGTTGGAAACAACTTAAATTTCCCATCAATAGGGGACCTGCTAAATGAACTATGGTGGAGCCATACTGTGCAGCCGCCCCACCAAAAGGAACTTCTTTTTTATAGGTATAGAGTTTTATTTGATGTAAAGAACTTATGATCAGGCCTAATATATAAATGAGAAAATATATATACATATATGTATATATTTTGTAAGTTTTGCTGAGATACTACTCACCATAAAATTCACCCATTTAAAGCGTATAGTTCCATGGTTTTTAGTATACCAGAGTTGTGCAACCACCACTACAATCAATTTTAGAACACTTTTATACCCCAAAAAGCAATCTTTAGAGTCACCCTTTAGCAGTCAGCCCCACTCACTACCCCCAACCTCTCCTGCACTGTCAGGTTGCTGTTAGGAGCCATTGAGTCAGTTCCAACTCATAGAGATCCCGTGTGGCAGAGTAGAACTGCACCACAGGGCTTTCTAGGATGTAATCTTTACAGAGCAGATCACCAGGTCTGTCTCCTGTGTGGCTGCTGGGTGAGTTCAAATCACCAAACTTTTGGTTAGCAGTTGAGTGCATAACTGTTTGTGCCATCAGGGCTCCTTCCCCTGCACTAGGCAACCATTAATCTACTTGCTGTGTCTATAGATTGCCTGTTCTGGCCATTTCATCTAAGTGAAATCAAACAATATGTGATCTTTAGTGAATGGCTTCTTTTATTTGGCATAATGTTTTCAAGATTCATCCATGTTGTAGTAGCATGTATCCATATTACATTCCCTTTTACTACCAAATAATATTCCACTGAACAAATATGCTACGTTTTGTTTATCCATTCATCAGTTGATGGACATATATATATTAATATTATATGTCCATCAACTGATGAATGGATAAACAAAATATATATATATAGTTCTACCGTTTCCACTTTTTGGCTATTATGAATCAGGCTGCTGTGAAAATTCTTGTACAAGCTTTTATTTCTCTTAAATATATATACCTAGGTGTGAATTTGCTCGGTAACTTTGGTAACTCTGTGTTTAACCTTTCAAGCAACTGTCAGACTATCTTCTAAAGTGGCTGAACAATTTTATAGTCCCACTACCAGTATATGAGAGTTCCAATTTCTCTACATCCTTACCAACACTTGTTATTATCTATCTTTTTGATTACAGCCATCCTAGTGGGTATGAAGTGGTAACTCATTGTGGTTTTGATTTGCATTTACCTGATGACAAAGGATGTTGAGCATCGTTTCATGAGCTTATGGGTTCTTTGTACATATTCTTTGGAAACATGTCTATTCAGATCCTTTGCCATTAAAAAAATCATAATATTTATATTATTGAGTTGTAAGAGTTCTTATACTTTGTAGATACAAGTCCCTTATGAGATACATGATTTGCAATTATTTTCTACCACTCTGTTGATTGTCTTTTCACGTTCTTGATGGTGCCATTGAAACACAAAAGCTTTTAATTTTGATGAAGTCAACTTTATCTATTCTTTTTCCGGTAGCTTGTGCTTTTGATGTCATATCTATGAAACCATTGCCTACTCCAAGCTAAGAATTATACACTGATATGTGACTATCTCCAACATTTACTCTAAAAATATTATGTAAAAATGCTTTATTAAAAATACATAGATATTTACATACATATATATAATATCTCTGAAATAGTAACAAGAATCTGATAACCTTGGTCGCCTCTGGGGAAGGAGAGCTGGTTGGCTTGTGGAGAGAGACTTTACCTACCTATATTCCCTTTGGTACTTTTTGAATTTTGAACTATTTTAGTAACTACCTGTTAAAAAGATACATACATAAAATTTAAATTAAAATAAAAACAGACATTCTGAGTTGAATCTCAAGAATATTCTGTCACAATCAGAAAAATCTAATATCAAATAAACATCGAGAGCCATCAGACTTAATCTAGTCATATAAAACAAAACAAAAAGGAATAGATCTCTCCTCTGATTAACTAAAATGAATTTCAGAACATCATTTCCTTAAGACAATCTGTTTCCTAAATATTGCGAATAGGCAAAAAATAGCAAAGCATTTTGTGTGGCACAGATAAGACACGCAATATTAATTGAATATGAAGGAGAGGGCATTTGTAGAGTAAGTGAAGGCTACAAAGCTGTATGAATTTTTTTCCCTCTTCTATTGAGGGAAACTATAATGTAACTTTAGCATTAGGAAAAAAATATTTTCCCTCTTCTATTACTGAAAACAATAATATAAGACAAATTAAAAATTTTTAAATACAATAAAAACATAATCCCACCACCTTAATCTATTTTCCTTTTTTAATGGTACATGAATCTTTGTCCACTAACCAATGTGTAGATATTAATACGAATGCTGTTTTTTACATGTTTGTACACTGTATTCAAAACCAGCATTTTCAGTGTTCGCTCTAAAATTCTACTGATGTTAAAAATTTATTAACTAGTCATATACTACAACGGCACTGAGGTTCTGTTTAACTTTTCACTACCATTGATCATGCTGGGTAAACACTGTTTTATATATATATAGTTCTATTGAATTATTTCCTAAGTTTGAGTCTCAAATATAATGTTATGATATCAAAGATGTGAGTATTTTATGGTCCTTTACACACAGTCCCATATAGCCTTCCAAGAAGTACATCAGTTAGAAAAACTACCAGATGTATAACGATGTACCAGTTTCACTGTAACTTTACCATTATTGAATATTATCATTTCTGAATTTTAGTAAAAATAAAAACTTCACTTAAAACTCATTTTTTAAAAATTACTTTTAACTCTAAGGTGATTTTTAAAGCCTTGTTCATACAGGATCACATATAACAAAGGCCAGTAAACTTTTCTTGAAAGGCCAGACAATAAATATTTTAGGCTTAAAATCTTACAAGGTCTGTGTCACAACTAGTCAACTCTGGCATTGTAGTTCCAAAGCAACTATAAACAATCTGTAAACAAATGGATGTGGTCGCATTCCAGGAAGTTTCCCAACCTCTGATCTATAACGCAGAAAGCAGGATGTTCACATCATTCACATTATATGAGTCTAATTAGTAAAATATCATGTAGCACGAAACTGAAGCACAGGGAAAATAAAGAACATAGATTTGGGATCATGTTTTTCTCCCAAAAGAGTTACAAATCAAATGATCAAGTACAACTATGATCATCCGAGCAGAAAAAACTAAGCCTCAGGAGACTCTGAAAGCACTGCTACTCTAATGGTAATATGAAACTGGGCCACTGGAAAAATGGACACAAGGCCACAGGGGTGCTTTACAAGCGATACTCCAACGGGCTCCTTTTGGGAGCTTCTGTGTGTGTGTTTGTGTGTGTGTCTGTGTGTGTGTGTGTGCGTGCGTGCGTGTGTGCGTATCATTGCAGGGGATGGAGGAGGAGACTCTTCCTGATCTCACAAGTTCCAGTCCTACATTCCCATTTGTCTGCTAGATCTCTGTGTGACAACTCCACCTCAGCATGTTCAACACTGAATTCACTATTGTCTTTCTCTACTGGACCTTCTGTTTCTACTGATGGTAATGTCATTCCCTCAATCACCCAAAATCAACCTAGAGTCTGACAAATGGAAAGCATCCAACAAAGAGTTAATTCATTAATTCATTTATTATAGCATTCCTTCCTCCCCTTCAGTCAGTGAGTGGTCAAGTTGGACACTATGTCTTCTATTCACAGCATTTTTTTTTCTTGCTGCCAGTACCTTGGTTTAGACCCTACTAGGATTAAGTGATGTTCCTATCCGTTTCATCTTCCTAAAGATATCTCCAGTACGTCACTACCAATATAAAATATAACCAATAGCCCATACCAGCCAACCAACTTTAGTTCAAACACCTAATCTGCTATCCAAGATCCTTCACAATCGGGCCCCCTGCAGGAATCTTATCTGCCAACACACTCTGGCACCCTGGGATCCAGTCAAAATACAGCCAGCCACTCAATATCCCCATACAAACTGCATCCCACCCTAATCCAATCCTAAGATTTCCACCTGGGTCCTAGCTCTGTGCATTTAACCACTAGCCTGTATTTTTCCAAACTTTTTATTCATCATTTTGTACTAGCCCTCCGAACATAGCACTGATGAGCTCATCTACTCTTCCAGGGTAGATTAGCAAAGATGCAAGAAGAACACACTTAAGTAGTCACACACTCAAATAATCCACAAGAAAAGGATTCTTTCCATGTTCCTCACTGGCCTTTGTACTGTTTGACAGAAAAACTTTCAGCAATAGCCTCAGGTAGAGCCAATGTCAAATACAATTTGTATATAGCACTGTAGATTATTGCCTTTATAAAGGGAATTGGTCCTGGGGCTGTGTCCAAGGTTAAGGGTTAAAGCTAGAAAGACAGATACCTATAGCAGGAGAAATGAAGTATTTTTATGTAATACTAGGAACATGTTAGATGCTCTATAAATGCTTGCTTCTTCCTTTCCCTTCCCTTCCTTCCTTCCTCCCTCTCCCTTTCTTCCTTAATTCCTTCCATCCTCCCTCCTTCCTTCCCTCTTTCCCTCCCTTTCGTCTTCCTTCCTCCCTCCCTAGAAGAACTTACTACTAGGTCTCTAAGATAATTATTTGGTGTTTATTTGTTTAATGTTTATCTTCCCAAGTAAAATCTAAGTTCCACAAAGGAAGAGGCCACAATTGTTGTGTTAATGGCTCTATCTCCTGGGCCTGCAGTGCTGGACATACATCAGGCACTCAGATATCTGAATGAGTGAATGGAAGAAAGGGGGAGAGATGGAGAAAGGGAGGAAGAAATGCTTATGGGCTTCCTGGCCTCTAGGCTTAAGTAGTGACTCAGGCCCTCTCTGCCACATACCAACAGGACAGTCCACTAGTGAAACTACTTAATTTCCAACAGATATGACACTGACTCACAGAATCACAGAGGCTCGCGACTGAAAACGCCTTGTGCTTGTGCCTCTGCCATTTTGTGTCACTTCTGCCACCTTTCTCACATATGTCCCCCTGGGATCCCAGGGAGAGTTAAACTACAAAGCAGAACCAAGTAGCCAGCCAAAGTACTGATAAAAAGCTTGGGTAGGGGGACATGTTGTGATCCTTTCCCAGTAACCCTTGCTCTCTGAAACCCTTCTTAGTGAGCACACAGTACCTCAGAGTAACTACTGGGAGTTTTTCTCACCTGAACTAGTCTGATCAGCTGACTTTCAGCCTCTGTAAGTGGCGGCAGAATTTGGCAATGCCGTCTGGGTTACGAACGCAACTGTGGAGCTCAGAAATTCCTTGGCACCACTGTAACTTTCTCTTTAATTTACATTCACATGCCCAGAAACCTGACCAAAATGTTAAGGGAAATGTAAATTCTCAGCCATCTGAGCCCAGCCACAACTAAAACGTGCACAAGCACACGAATCCATCCGTTTCCTTCTGGCCATCTCCTGTCCCTGACCTTGACAGATACAACCTCCCCTTAGAAAACCTCTGATCAGCCACACCTGCCAATGGTATTCACCGACACAAGAACTAAATGGGCTGAATATTCTTAATCCAATGCTATACACATTTTTTAACTTTAGCCAACACAACCCAACGATAAAAAAGCAAGTAAATAAAGGCTAAAGTCAAGTTAGATGGAAGCAATTTTCCTATCAAATACCCTTCTAAAGCTCCATGATAAATTTCTCATTCAACCACTTCTGTCACATCCAATTAAATTTGAACCACATTTTTATTTACACTTACCTCTGCCACTCGGTGGGTGGAACTGAACCGAGGCTGTGAACCAGCCAAAACACAATGTTGGTGGGTGGCATTGAGATCATCTGCGGGAAAAATGGCAAAATTTAAAACCGAAAAAACAAAAAACACATTTATTAGTCACTATAACTATTTAACTAAAATACAAATCCATCAAGAGGAACAACAATAACCAAAGAATTAATATTGACCTAGTATTCTTTAAAATATTCCTTACAAGTAAGCTGACTATATATTATTATCCAAACCCAAACACTTCTTGTTTCCTTTTTTATTGTGGTAAAATATATATATATAAAAAACAGAATATTTACCATTCAACAATCTTTACATGTATAGTTCCATGGTACTGATTATGTTCAACATATTGTGCAACTGTTACTACTATCCATTTTCAAATTATTCCACCACCATTAACAGAAACTCAACATCGCCCTTTCCCCTCCCTGCCATCACTGGTAACCACTAATAAGCTTTGGTCTCTATACATTTGCTTATTTCATATAGGTGGGATTATATAGTATTTGTCCTTTTGTAACTGACTTATCTCACTCAGCATAATGTTTCCAAGGTTTATCCATGCGTGGCATCCATCAAGACTTCATTTCTCTTTATGGCTGAGTAACATTCCATTGTATGTATGTACCACATTTTGCTTATCCATTCATCTGTTGATGGACATTCTGGTTGTTCTCCCTTTTGCCTACTGTGAAAAGCACTGCAATAAACATTGGTGTACAGGCTTCTGTTTGTGTTCCTGCTTTCAATTCATTTGGGTATATACCTAGGACTCGGATTGCTGGGCCATATGGTAGTGCTATGTTTAACTTTTCGAAGAACTCCCAAACTGTTTTCCATAGTGGCTGAACCATTTTGCATTTCCACCAGCAATGATGAGGTTTCCAATTTCTCCACATCCTTGCCAATACCTGGTTCTTTTCTGTTTTTTTTTTTTTTTTTAATCATAGCCATTCTAGTGGGGATGAGGTGGTATCTCATCGTGGTTTTGATTTGCATCTCCCTAGTGATTAAAGAGGAGCCCTGGTGGCGCAGTGGTTAAGAGCTCACCTGCTAACCAAAAGGTTGGCAGTTCAAATCCACCAGCCACTCCTTGGAAACCCTACGGGGTAGTTCTACTCTGTCCTATAGGGTCACTATGAGTCAGAATTGACTTGATGGCAAAGGGTAATGATTAAAGATGCTGAGCCCTTTCTCACGTGTTTGTTGCCCGTTTCAATATCCTCTTTGGTGAAATTTCTATTCAAGTCCTTTGTCTATTTTTCAACTGGATTGTATCTTTTTGTTGTTGTCAGAGTTCTTTACATATTCTGGATATTAAACACTTATCAGATATATGGTTCCCAAAATTTTTTGCCTCAATCTGTAGGTTGTCTCTCCACTTTACTAATATAAGTCATTTGGTGAACAAAAGTAAAACCAGGACACTTTCAAAAGTGAAAGGGGAGGCTATTAATAATTATTCCAAGACAACAAGTGTAAATAAACCAGGACTGTCTTCTGGCAAGCTGGAAGTATGGTTACCCTACTTAAGTGTGGTCTTCTGATAGTCACCCGCTACAAAGTTTACTATTTGTGGACTGACCATTTTTCTCTTTCTCACAGTATATCTACTTCTATCTATACCTTCAGAATAAACTACAATTCTTTATATTATTTGAAGTTGAACATCTTTCATCTGAAAGCCTGCCTTTCTCTCCCCAATCAAAATATCAGTTTTGCTCTACAATTTTCCAGGCAACAAACCAACCAACTCAGCAGGTCACAAAGCTCTGGCTCTCAGAACAGTATTCAAACCTGCAGTGCGATGGATCGCTTCTGCGTGGCCTTTCTCGCCAGGGTCTTGTAACTTCCACCAAATGACTGGGTGGGACCATGCTAATAAGGTATATGAAACCCTAACGAGAGTATTGGTCAGTTTTGCCATCCCACTAGGCTTAAAATGACCTGTCCCAGAGACAGGAAGGAGAGGATCTCGCCACCACCAAGGAAGAAGGGCCAAGAGTAGAGCACATCCTGTGGACCTGGGATTCCTGTGCTGAGAAGCTCCTGGAACCAGGAGACGGAGGGAGGGAGAGAGAGAGCTATAACACTGAAGATGACGAGAGGTGGTAGCAGAGAAACAATGGCAGAAGAGACCAGCAGGAGACAGTGCAGTGGGCTTCCCAGCCCACAGAGCAAAAAAGCTGAGTATCTTTGGGCAGGAGGCTTGCTGGTGGAATAGGGTGTCTCTGGGCACTTGGTGGAGCTAGACGTGCTGACCCATGGAGCCAGAGCTGAGTGCCTTCAGGTCGAGGCTTACCGGCAGAGTGGGGTACCTTTGGTCACTTATCAGCAGAGCTAAAAGAGCTTTGTAACACTTGCTCCAGCAGGGCAGACGCCAAGTGGCCAGCTAAAAAGAGGCTGTCCTGATGGAAGAACTGTATCCTGAGCATTCCTGAACCTGAATTGAAACCTGTTACTTCCCTAGGAAACCCCATAATTATATCGTCTGTGATTTCTGTGTGGGGTCATTGCAATGAATTACTGAACCCAGCAGAGAAGTAAAGAGTGCCATGGGAGAGGTGGATGGTGTTAGAACTGGTAAAGATGGCAGAGAAAGGAGGCATGTCTGACCTCTGTCTCAAAGGAATCAGCCTTGGGCTGTTGATCTTGATTCTCTTTCCCCCTTGAAGTTAGAGGTCAGATGCCACTCCCACATCATTTTTACAAAAACCTATGGACTCACGACCCAAGAATGGAGGAAATGGTAAATTTATCAGCTGAAGAATGCTCCAAAAACCACACAAAGCAGGATAATAAATCAACGACCAAGTTGTTGTGTGTTCTAAGAAGTGATGCCACATGTCAGGAAAAATCTGTATCATCTCTGCTTAGGATGTCATTTCCTCTATAATAAAGAAGAGGGCTGAACAGTACTGCTTCCCAGTAGTGCATGATTTCCTATATAGGTAACACAGGCTTCTTAGCAAGATATCAAGAAATAAGGACTTAAACTACGATGCCAAGAACACCACACTCCCTATGTGTCAGCAAAACAACATACAGTATTACCACTAAACACAGGAGAGGAAATGTAAAATGCAAACCGAACGACTTTCACTTCCGGATGTTATGAGCAACAGTGACCAGATTTACCCTCCTGCCTTAAAAACTATAAAAACAGAAAGAAAATATGAAACAAAGGTTTCGACACTGGAAAACAGAGCAAGAAACAATCCCATAGAGGAGAGAAACCCAGTAGGAGAGCCCTGCACCTAGCATACTGTCTGGAAACAGATTCAAGGCCGCAGAGTAGCAAGGGGGAAGTCAAACAGAATCCAGATTTCTCCATTCTCATTCTTGCTGAGTTGAGAAGACAGACACTGATCAGATTTCAAGGAGGCCAAGGCAACTAGGATTTGCAAGGCAGAATACTGGTATAGAGAACCTACACAGAGAAGCAAGCAGAGGTTGGCAAAAGGGTTCCCGCAAGTCTTCAGCTGAGTACTGATCTGTGCATGCGTGAAAGAAAACTACCCAAGGCCAGGAAAAGAACCAACAGAAACAGTAGGCTGAACTAATTCCAGACCTCACACGGGGCCAGGAATACTTTGTTTGCAGAAGAGAGATTGAAAAGACCTAAGCCTCTGGGTAGAGACGTCAGAAAAGAGTCACCTTAGTAGTAGGCCATTAGTCCTAGACTAAAGGTGCTCTACAGACACCCAACAAAGTTTAAAAGCAACCAAGCAAGCCTCAAAAGTTCCCAAATTATTCCAAACAACTACTCATTAGAGCAAAGTTCAACATTATTTAAAAGAATACAACATCATCAGGCACCCAAGTAAAATTTTCGATGAACAACATCCATTCAAAAAGTAACAGAGCACAGAAAATCCTATATGATTTTATATACAGCTACTCCTCATATATTGACACAGTTAGGTTCCAAAGACCAGGTTTTCATGCAAAAATCAGCATAATGTGAAAATGGAGATGACCATATTCTATGAGTCAGAATCGACTCGACGTCAACGGTTTTAAAGCAAAAATAATAATAAAATATTGAAAGATTTATAAAGCACATAGAAGTAAACGTATGAAAACACAACAAAGGACGGAAGGAAATAAATAAATGTACGCTATGATTCTTAACATTATATGAAAGGTGGTATAAAAATATTTGAAATTATGCTGTGGTAAATTAAAGATGTATTTTGCAAGCCCAAGAGCAATAATTCTCAAACTGTAGTAATTTTGTTCCCTCCCTCCAGAGGATATCTGACAATGTCTAGACACATTTCTGGTTGTGGTAACAGGGGAGAGGGGATGCTACTGGCATGTAGTGGGTAAAGGTTAGGGATCTAAACACCCTATACGGCACAGGACAGCCTCCACAACAAAGAACTACCCATTCCAAATGTCAACAGTGCCAAAATTGAGAAACCATGCCCTAAGAAAAACACAACAAAAATTTAAACAAAGAGGTATAGTAATAAACCAAAAGTGGAAATAAAATGGAACAAAAAAATTTTAAATTAACCCAAAAGAATCAAGAGGGGAAAAAAAGGAAAAGACCATATGGGACAACTCAAAAAATAAACAGCAAAATGATCTAAGCTTCCAGCTTAAAAAACTAGAAATGAAAGAACAAATCTAACTCAAAGTAAATAGAAGGAAATAAATAATTAAGAGCAGAAATAAAAAACAAACAAATAAAAACCAAAAAAAAAAAAAAAATGTTGTGTTGTTAGGTGCCTTTGAGTCAATTAAGACTCATAGCAACCCCATGCACAACAGAAGGAAACACTGCCTGGTCCTGCACCATGCTCACAGTTGGCGAGTCTATTGTTGCAGCCACTCTGTCAATCCATCTCATTGAGAGTCTTCCTCTTCTTCGCTGACCCTCTACTTTAGCAAATATGATGTGCTTCTCAAGGAGGACATGTCCAAAGAACGTGAGACGAAGTTTCACTATCCTCACTTTGAAGGAGTATTCTGACTGTACTTCTTCCAAGGCAGATTTGTTTGTTCTTCTGGCAGTCCCTGGTATATTCAGTATTCTTCA